CACATTGTTTAGAGCATAGGGCTTTAGACTCAAAATTATTGAGCTGCTACTTCTCATGCTTGGCAACTTGCTTGGATTCATTACATGGGGTCAAACTAAAAATGCCAATAACAGCCAAGAGCGGAGCCGTTAACAGAATGGAAGTAAGCGCTAGAGCAACCATGAATGATAGTAGGGATGAAGCCGATAGATGTGACCCTTTTTTGGAAGAGATTGGCAGATCAAACCACAACTACTAATGTCAAAACTTACAGGTCAATTGAGAATTTAGATTGGGCTTCAAAACAGGTTTCGAAATATATGAGGGAATTGTAAGAGATCTTCAAAGTTCCCTGCTTTCTTTTCTTTTTTTCTTTCTATGTTTATGAGGTGAGAAAATGGAGAATTTAAGACGAAATCAGAAGAAATAGGGATTTGACGATCACCATCATCCTTTCCTTTTTACAACACCATCATCTAGATTAAAGGGTATTATGGACTTGTTAAAGAACCCCTAGTACACTTAAGATAAATTTAGCTAATGAAATTTGTTGGCTCAAATACTCTAAGAGAGGGTGAATTAGAGTCTTCAAATTTTACCTTTTTGAGCAACCACCAAATGAAAATCAAAGAAAGAAAGGAAGAAGAGCTTCCACAATTGAAGGTTTCACTCACCTTCAAGTATCATTTCTTGAAACTACACTCACTCTCAAGATCACAAAAGAGTAGAAAGAAATATTACAAAGCATATGATCTCTCTTATATCTCATTTGTAAATGTAAACTCAAAACTTTTAAAATAATTTATAAATTTAAATTCAAATTTTAATTGTAAATTTTTTAATATGTATCTAAAAGCTCTTTAAAGAGTTTTCCAACCATATTAAATTGATCCAAGGTCAAAACTAGCCAATGGATGCATTCATTGTAACTCTCTTAAAATTTGAAAAATGATTGTTATATTTTGATAGTATGAGCCAGTTTATAATTTGAGAGCCAAGTTAAGTGAGCCAAGTTAAGTGAGCCAATTTACTTTATAGCTTTACTAGTCCTCCTACAATTCACCCATTTTGTTTTAAGCTGGCTGCAAACTTCTAAACTGGCTTATAATTTGAAAACCTAAAAAGTTAATAATTTGAATGTTTTGCCTGTTGGAGCATTAAATGGTTTAGGTGAGCTAGCTTAGCTTTTCAAAGTCGGCTTAACCACGCACTTTTCAACACTTTAAACTTTACTCTTTCATCTAGATTTGAGAACCCATATCTTTCTTATCTGAACTTCCTTTTAGGTATTCTTATATGCATCGGAAAGTTTGACATTTCTGCTTTCAAGTTTGACATTTCTGCTTTCAAGTGAATCAATCTTTGAGGTAAAACTCCAAAAATAATTTAATTTATTCTTAAATGAACAAATTGAAGTCAATTTCACATTACATAGATAATTTTTAATTTTCTAACTTTTTGCACACTATCATAAAACTCATTAGCCTTGTCATAATAATTTTGTTATCATCAAAATTATCATAGAAGCTCAGCAAAATTTCACTTAGAAAAGACAAAAAAATAGGCATCAGCTAAATCTTTAGGAAAACTAGGACAAAGCCACCATAAGGGAATTAATTAGAATTTGGGTGCTAGGGTTTAGATTTTTAAAGGTTAGGGTTTATATTTTTAGGTTGTAGGGTTTAAAATTTAAAGTTTAAAGTTTAACAACTTAAAAATTAAAACAACAGGACCTAAAAATATACAAATTAAAAGTTATTATATCTAAAAGGAAAAAATAAAATAACTGTAGGACCAACTGATCTATGCCCATAGCATTACCATTTTTTTTTTTCACACACTAAAAGACTTGTTTGGTGTGATGAATTTTTCCCTTTTTTAGAGGAAAGTTATAAAAAAATACTTTAATTCAAAGTTATATATACATTTTATAGAGTATAAGATCAATTTAAATATAAATTTTATACATAATTTTTACACAAAATTCTAGTTGTGAATAAATATAGTTGAGATTTGTTTATTTATTTATTTATTTTTAAAAAATAATTGTTTTTTATTTAAAAATTATAATAAATCTCAATTATTTCTAATAAAAATAAC